ATTTGTTCTAGTCTCAGCCAGAACCTCAGAGAGCTTGGCTGTTGAGTCTGGTTATGTAACAACAACAACAACAAATTCTAGCAGACTCCATTTGGGGCCCCATGGCTCCAAGGTAATTGCTATGCTTTGACTGTGACCCCAAAGGCTAGGACCTGGAAACTTAGTCCCCACTGCTCTAGGATTGAGAAGTGGGACTTTAAGAGGGGATCAGTTTATAGGGTCTCTGTCCTCATTAAGAGACCAGTGTCATTGCAGGAGCTGATTTGTTATCATGAGGGTGAGCTGGTTTTCAAAGCAAGTTCCTTCTGCCACAGTGTGACAGAGCAGGAGGCTCTGATAGATTTGGTCCCTGCCTGGCTTCCAAACAAACCTCTGCTGTCATAGGTTACCCACTCTGAGGTGTTCTGCTGTTGCAAAATGGACTAAGAGTATTTGTCCATCCACCGCTGGTTCCTGGTCTGAGAAAGTGCATCCTGCTGTGGCCTTTAGAAGAAAGGAGACAACAGGAGCTGGCCAGCTTCTCTCGCCATCTCTTTCTACAAAGCAGCCTTAGGCTGTGATAAATGAGCAGCCTTACTTTAATGTGTTTGCTGTACTGTATCTTTATTCTGGAATAAAATTGTAGCTCTGCAGGTAGGTTGCCATTCAGGTAGAACTCTCCCTCCCTGTTTAACAACCCCTCTCAACGTAGCCCCGTGGTCCTGAGAGACAGCTGACAAAAGAGCCAGGAAAGGTCCAGCCACAGTCACACGGCCAAGGAGTGGCAAAGCTGCAGATGAAGCAGGGGCTGTGGTTATAAACCCCTCGCTCTTTTCCCAGTCCTCTCCTCTCTTTCCCTGCAGTTTGCTGGTTACTAGAGAGATCGAAGGAGTATTGATTGAGTGGCCTCTTGGACCAGCACTGCTCAGTGTGCTGAAAACAGAACTGTAAGTTTGAGCAGCTGCCTCCTCAGGAGAAGATGATGTCACCCCACATCCTGGACCCACACTGCCACTCTTTGGGTCACAGCCTGGGGTGGTCAGCATCGTCCCTTGTAATGGACGCTGACGAGGCTTCGTGGTCTCAGCACAGGCTCCTGGGAGGAGGTGCCGCAGTTCATTTCCAGGAAGGCAGTGAATCAAGGGGAAAAAGGCGAGAGCATTGTGCATCCAGGCCTCAGCCACACATGAGATGCTGCAGCAAATTCAGTGAGCGGTAAATTTGAGTGCCCTTTTCTTGTTCAAAGTGTAAGCTTTCAGCAGTTCTAATTTGACTCTTAATTAAGATACACTTGTAGGTCAAATTTCATTAAAGCCTATTTCTTGCTGTCTGGCACTGGGACCACAAAAGGAAGCTTCTAGAAAGCCATCCTAGGGAGGAAGGCATAGCGTCCTGGGGAGAGCTGGCCCCAGCCCCACCATCCCTCTACCGCTGCCCAGCTGTGGCAAACTTTTCTGCGTAGTGAACGTGTTGGGCATTCTGTGAATTGTATCATATTAATTGCTGTATTTTCAGCATGTGGAACCTGGTCACTTTTTATTATTGCTATTGCTATGACTACTACTTTTTTAATAGCAAGGGAACCAGAGAAACTGTCATGACAACCTTTCTGGTCATTCTGCAGAGTGTCTGCCTTCAAGTTTTTGGAGTCAATTACATGATCTTGGCACATGACTTTGCCATGGGAAGAGAGGCTATGGAAAAGTAGAACGTGTCCACACAAAGGGTGTATCCAAGGACAGCCCGGCTTTATCCATATGTAGAGTAGGCAGCTCCCAGGGCACAGTGCTTGAGGGCCTTGAGCCTACCCATTCCTCCCTCCAAAATGTCTCTCCCACCGCCATTCAAAATGTGGCCAGTTGAAGATTATGAAAAGCGCTGCACGTGTAAGGAGAGAGAATAGCGCTACCCTTGGAGTCTGGTGCCTTGGGTGGAAATGCTGGTTCTTCCATGGAATTAGTCTCTCAGACGGCAGCAGGCAATATGTGGAAGTACGGCTTCCCTGGCCTCCTCAGCGTGTACCTCCCGGAAGAGGTACACTCGGGTCTGTGGCTGTAAAAATCTGCCTCTTGGGTTGAGGCTGTGGAAACCCTGAGAGAACGTGACAAGTGTCTTAAACCTGAGTCCCATCAAGCTTGTAACCCAGTGCATTTCTTCATGTTGTTCCAAATCCAGCCTCTGACAGACCACATAGTCCAGATTTGGCGCCCAGGTTGAAGGCCCAGCCCCTTACCGTTCCCAGAGTCTGCGCTGCAGTGTTCCCAGGCCATGGAAGAACTGCAGCTGCCCCACGTGTATGATCTGCCATCACAGGCACCGAGTGACCGGCTGTCCGTGGTGGGCTGTGCCATCCCACGGCAGAGCCCCACCACAGCCACTCACCAAGTGTGGTCTCCAGTGTGTGACGTGGTGGCAGCGAGACAAATGCCACTGGCGTGTGCTGGGGGCGGATGAGATGAGGCAGGGAGCGGCAGGCGAGCTGCCTGGGAAGCAGATGCTTGGAAATGCCCCTGCTTTCTTGTGCCCGTCTACCCATCACGGCCGGTACCACCTCGCCTCAGCTCTTCTCGGGCGAGAGATTATGTCTTTGGTCTTTGACTAGAGGGGCATAATTCACTGGGGAAGGCTGCAGGGCAAGCCAAGAGTGGGGTGAGAAAGAGGGGTCTTACGACACAAGCCGCCAACCTTTCGTTTTGCTCTGGCCGTCCTCGTCTGCTATGAGCAGCTGGTGGGTTTTGCTTGTGGGAAGAAAGAAGATGAGGAAATGAAATCTAAAATATTTGACCAACTGAAGCAACTGGTTACTGTATTCAAAAAACTTTCTTGGAAGCATTTTGCCTCTAAATACTCTAAGCATACAAGTTCACATCTGGCTTTTACTGCAAAAATGCTATGCTATAAAAATAAATTCTTTTTTTTTTTTTTTTTTTT